GGAATTTGATTCCTGTGGCACAGTCTTTGGGGCCATGGGTGAATGAAGTGCCTCCACCCGGTCTCCAGCAATGGGGAAAGCTGTAAAAGATGGTGTCTCATCTAGTCCCAGTTCTGGAGTCAGCACTGGAAGAAGGAATTGACTTTCTTCTAGCTCAGCTTTGCCCTTAAGATCTGGTGAAAGATAGTTGGCCTGTTCTGACGCCAGCACAGACGTTTCTTTGGACTTTTTGGAAACTGTCTGATCCTTTGTTTCATCAGGAACACTTGATACCATTACTGGAGATGGTTTGGCTGCCTCATTCAGTGAACTATTGAATGCAGCATTTGGGCTTCTCTCTGGTTCTGAAGCAGTAGTAGGGCTTTCCAGTTTTGTTGTTGGAGTTACGAACGAATAATGTTCCTTTTCTTCTCTCTCCCATTCTGCTGGAATTGGGGATTTATAATCCAATTCTGGAATCATAGGCAGGAGTGACTGAAGGTCTCTCCCTCAGTGCTTGGAAGTGGAACAGATGCATCTAAGTGCTTGTCTGATTCACATACTGAATATGACACATCTTGAAAATCTGCCTCCAACCCTGAAGTTTCAACTTCAATACTTTGCTTTTCCATAGATCTTGCTTCTGGTTCTGTTGGTATATGTGTCTCTTCTTCAGCTTTTGGAGATGGTATAGTTGAATACCTAGAATCTAGGGCTGCATTTCCTCTTAAAACACTCTGATTTTCTTCTGTTTCTATTAACTTAATTGTGTGGCCTAAATTTTGTTTCTTTCCAGGAAAATGAGATGAGCTTCCATGTATCTGTGTTTCCTCCACTGATGGTAACACATCTGATTCTATTGGTAGAATTGTATGCAGCAACTGCTGGGTAGTTTGCTCAATATTACTCTGCGGCTTCTGCTTGTCCAGAGCAGAAGCAGACTGTAATAGATCTGCATCCAAAAGTTCAAAGAAGGGTTTGTCAGAACGTTCATCTTTCTTATCTCCTTCATCAACAGAATACAATGCAGTTGTTTCTTCCAACTGGGATGATACAGAGAAATTCTGTCCCATACTCTGTTTTTTTGGCTGGGATTCAGTTGAATAGTCCAGCCCAAAACTTCCACTTTCAAATGAATTAATCTGGCCTTCTTGCTGGCTTTCATCTATGATGGGACGGGATACATCTTGCTCCTCAGAGCACAGCTTTGCATTTATAGGTGCCCCGAACTGGTTTTCTAGCTTCTCTTCTTCTTTGGGTGAAACAGATGCTGCATTGAGAGGTTCAGCAGATAGTGATGAAACAAGCTGAGTTGTTTTCCTATCTTTGAGAACATCTGGCTCTCTAGAAATTGGCAGGAGTTCTTCTCTTGGAACCTCTGTGGGTGACAATGGCTGCATCTCTACGTCTGTTACATTCACATTTTGGAAAGTGCCTGTGGTGAATGGTGTTTCTGCTGCCACAGTAGCTGTCTCAGGAGGAGGGGAGAGGCCCTCATGCGTCTCTGTTTGTTCAGTTGGCCATGCAGGATGTTTTGACAGAGATGCTGCAGTTACGACTGAAGGCAGTGGAGTCCCCTGCTTTTCTGTATTCTCTGACAGAAGAGATGAAATAGATGGCAGCTGCTCTGACAAGTTGAGTTCCTCAGTAGGAGAGTACTGTTTTTCTTCTTTATCTCTGAGATGCAACGGCTCTGTGGGCTCCGATCCCTGTGGTACCTTTACAGGTTCAAAGATAGCTGGATGTTCACTTTCTGATTGTGCAATAGCTGGAGAGTCGGACTGAATTTCTTCTCTATCCACATAAGCAACAGGAAGGGATGAATCAGGACACTGACTTTCTGGCAGTGCAGTCTGATTCTCCCCTTTGCCTCTTGACTGTGACACATCTGAATGGTTTGGCTCTAGTGGGGTGGTCACAGCTGATTGTGCCTGAATGCCTTGCTTAATGAATTCTGATTCCTGATACTCTTTTTCTTCATGTTCTGCTTCACCTGTAACATATGGGGGCAGAGGAAGTTTGACACTTTTATATGAATCGCTCTGTAATTCCTGGGTTTCTGTTCTTCTAACTGCAGCAGATAAATCAGGTAGAGCTTCAATTTCTCCAGCTTTCATTTCTTTTATTGAAGGTAATAAGGGCAGGTGGTCTGACTCGGCTTGTAAACTCACAGTCAATTGCTCCTGAACTGCTGCAACTTTTGAGTACCCCATCCCTGGCTGTTCCTTTTCTTGCTCTTCTGTCTCACTTACAGAAGGTAATTCTGCCTGTTTACGTTCAGGTGAGTAAAGAGGTATGTCTTGATTCCCTGCTTCTTCAGCAAAATGAAATACTGCTGTGTCTTTAGTATCTAATTGTGAAGGGGCTGAGAATTCAACATCTTGGTTTCTAGCCTGAGCTAAAACAGATTTCTCAGTTTCTTGCAGTGTTGCTGCAGTATTATTTGAATATTGCACTTCCTGGGCTGTGGGTTCCGATGGCACCATTGCAGTTGAATCAGGCTGCATCTCTGCTTCGCTTGCAGGATAAGAAAAGGCAGAGCAAGACTCAGCTGGTTCCCTCTCTGGCAGAGCCTTTGACTTTTCTGACCCATCAGTGTTCTCTGTGGTCACTGGTGAATAATTCTGCATTTTCTGCTTCCCTCTTTCTGCATGGAGATTGGTTGAGTTTTCTGGCATGATCTTGGCTGAACTGAGAGGAAGAGACTGTGCTTTTCTTACCTCTGTTTTATCAGGAAGATCTGGTTGAACCAGGCTTGCCTGTTCTGGGATTGGCGTTTGATTTCCAGGTGAATATGATTTGATATTTGGCTTCTTTGCTTTGTTAGCAAGGATTGATGAAATTGGTGGTGGCTTTTCTGAAGCCTTATTTAGAATTTCAGGCAGAAAAGACCGTCGTGTTCGCTTTTCATCTTTGTAAGAAGGAACAGAAACGCCCGATTTTGAAATCCCTGTTCCCACATGCTTGAGATTGTAACGTGGAATTTCCTTTCTGTTATTCTTATCTGTAGCATCTCGTTCAATATGTCTTAAAGATACCGAAATGCCTTGCCTGGAGAAGATTTTGGGCTGTTCCCTTGGCTTCTTGATTACATCTGAAGGTGGAGGAACATCTTTGTTGTTCACCCTCCGGAAAATCTTTTTATGTCTCTCTTCCAGCACTGCAGTGATCAGCTGAATTCTTGCTCTTACTGTACCTTTGAGAGGCAGCTCTCCCTTTTTCATCAAAGGATTTTCTTTTTCTTCTGACAATGAAGTCCCCATGTCCTGCGTGATGAGTACTAAATAGTCTTTAATCTTTGAAGGTTGTACTTGAAAAGGCCATGACTGTGGATCAGCAGGATCGAATTCTTTCTCTTGAGCTTTTGTGCTGCCTGGGCTGATCTTCTCATCTGGAGACTGTGGTGTGTGATCGGGTGAGTTTCTCCTCAGAGCAATCTTTTCCTCATCCATTGAAAACATACTTTTCCCTGAAGGACAATCCATAAAAGAGTTTTCCATACTATAAACACCAGATGTAGCACTGGTTTCTGAGGCTTGGGATGTGGAACATCTACTTGAACTGGTTTCCCACATCAATCCACTTTCTTCGCTTTGAGTGGCACCCATCACATCAGTCAACTTCCATTTTACTGCCTCATTCTGGTTAAGTTTTTTAAAACTGCTAAAGAAACAAATATTAAGAAACTATAACCTTGTGAAAATAACAGTCACAGAAAATTAAACTATAATAAGACAATCACTTCTTGATGTTATGTGCTTTTATTAAAAAAAAAAAAACATTGGAGCACAAAACTGCTATAAAGTTGTATCCAGATGTCATGGAAGCCTAGCACAATAAGAGAATCTGATGTTTCCTTTTGAGATTTCCAATTCAAAATGTTCAGTGTACATGGACAGAGCGGGGAGAATAGCTAGCTGTAATCAGCTTCTTGGCGAATTTTAATTTAGCAGGTGCTAATTTTTGTGCTTTTCAGCCTCAGGCTAGCATATTTTCTACACTAGTATTTTTCACTGTCTGGTGCTGTCCAGCTGCACTGAACCACAACTTTAACCATCTATATTATACAGGAAGTGTAACCCAACACAACTGGAGGACACCAGATGTGAGGAAGGATAAGTTAATGCTTTGCTTAGAAAAAACACAAAAACTGACCTCTGTTTGGTGTACTAACCTTTCACACATGCCATGCCATAAACTATTGGCTTTGTGTACAACATTTTAAAAATGTGCACAATGTGTCTCTTGATCTTGTTTAATTAGCTCAAAGAATAGGGGTTGCTGATATTGTTGGAAGTGTTAAAATTTACTACGGACCCAGTTCAGCTTTTGCATATTTCTTTCAGTGTTTGATATGGAGGAAATGTAGCACTATTAATTATTATTAATAATTATTTTTAATCAGTCTGGCATAAGCAATAATTGATGCCATCTGAAGTCTGGCAACCCCACATAAGCTTCTGATAGGAACAACGTTTATCAGAAGACTGTTTCAAAGTATTTTTCTGAGTTCTTATAGAATTTTTAAAAAAATATTTTAAATATAAGCTGACCGCTTGCAGAAGTTCCCTATTAAAGTTCAGTCCATCATGGGAAACTTGCCTTTGCAGACTGGATGCAAATGGAGGTGCAGTAGCTCCCCATGCATATCTGCTTACTGCAATGTGTATCCTGATGCAATGTAGTTTTTAATCAGCATCTGCAATACAAATTTCTGGGGATGTGCCTTGATATGCAAGATAGTAAAGGGCATCTTGATAGATTTTCTCACATTATGAGTTGGGTACAAATCCTCTTCAGCAGGGAACTGTAGCTAAGGTGGGGCTATATTTGACATGTTACTATGAACATAGTTTTAGTTCTGTCTTGGATCGCTTTCTTCTAATATTTAATAGCACAGGTGGATAAAAGACCCAAAGACAATCCTTGCCTTCACATTATTAGCTTATCTTACTTTATATATACCTCAAGACCAACATACACAATTTTTCACTTGGTCTCTACCAGGAGGCTCCTGCAGGGTTTTTTGAAAGAACAATTAATGACAGTTTCGCAAGGAAGTGATGGAACAGCCTGAACATCATCACACAATCTGCACTGTTTCTGGTTCCACTTCCAGACTTTGCTTAAAAGCTTGTATTTCATTTATAGGCATAAACTTTCCTATAATTGGTCTAAACAAAAGTATCTCACTGTCGCTGGCTATTGTCTCAGCTAACCTGATGCATTTCCTTATCTCTTTTGCTCTGGATTTAATGCAGAATGTAATGAATTTTCACCGTTCATTATGTTTCTTTTAGCAGAAGCTGAATTTGGGTTATGCACAACCCAGGAAGCTGTTTATGTCTTATCACTATCTCAGAATCTTCTCTCACTTATTTCTTTTAAAAATTGCACTAGATCACATATGTTGAGCCTTGTGCATGGGTATGGTGGAATGGAAGAAACAGGACTACAAGTAATTGTGGTAGCAGAACCTGTGTACAATCTTCAGGAAATATGTGAAGGCCAGGGCTTGCTCTGGGGTTTGGGGGTCCTCAGTAAAGTGCCACTTGAAAGTCCTGCTTTTGTATCAGGGAACACCCTGCATTATCTCAGGAATGTCTAACCTCTTTTAGACTGCGGGCCAAATTCAATTTCCAGGAAGCCCTTGGAGGTCACAGGCTAATACTGGGGCAGGGAAAAAAGTAAATATTTGGTGGGGGGAAGATTTTG